TCAATAAACTGAATGAATCACAATAGTGTTTTCAAATACATCCTATAATGTCCAGCCAAATTTATAATTAGCGTTGCATTGTCCTCGGCGGCTACTGTATTCTTATTATTATTCTTATTATATTCTTCCGCCTTCTATGCAGTTACCTGGGGCTCGCATATTTTCGACAATTGAGAATTGATATGTTATAAATCTTGTTTCCCATCCCCCAAAGATGAGAGGAGTGAATTCGTGGATCAAAGTATAAGCCTGGGTCCGGTTGCTGGTCCTGCTACCCTTGGTATGCATACACATGTTTGACGTTAGCTGCATTCATTGGGAAAAGTCGAAAACTTCTTGGGTAACTTTTCGTTACTGGTTCCCCAGTTCGTCAGCTGAATTAAGATCTTGTGCCAAAACAGTTGATATATCAAAGCTGTACCTGTACCAGCAGTCATCGGCAGTAAACTAGTCATTTTAGGTCTTTACCTAGTAGCACAGATGTGGAAGCCTGAATGCTTTTATATCCCCTTCTCCTCATAGGTCGGAAAATTCAGCGAAGGTGTCAAAAAGTTACTTGTTCTGGCAGAACGGTATGCCGAACTGGTCGATCCCCTGGAACAGGTCATTACCAATGTTGAAGAAGTGACCGACTACCTTGAAACAGTCGACTTCACGGACTCGCATCGTGAAATGTTACAGGTAGGCATGATTTGCAACTTCTGTCCTACCCGACTGTGTGATTTTGGATTTCAGGAATTGTCTATTTCGTCGCCAGTAAAATCACCTGCATATTTCGAGAAATCAGTTTCTCTTTCCTTTATCCTCGACTGAAAGGAAAAATGTATGCCCAAAATGTAAAACGTTTTGTGGATCGGATTAGACTAAGTTGCAAAACTTTTCCTTGGCTAAATGTATACATAAATTACTTCCCTGCAGTGGCAGCGTTATTCCCAATATAATAAACTAATGAGCTGTTATTTAGAAAGAAAGAAGTGCTAACACAAAGTGAAAACTAAAATGTCATTATATCAAGTTCATACACCGCTGTTTAATTTATTTCGTTGTGGAAGTACTTAGAATGGTAGCACCAGTTACGTATGTGGATATGGTATTTTGAAACTTGATATGTAATTTTTATACTCTTGAGGCGTTCATAGGAAATGATGCTTAACCCGCACATATTTCTTGAATGCCTGGGATACGTCGATTCGCACATCTCGCCTTCTTGCCCTAAGTGCGCATTTTGACTTATCGCAGGAAATCCAGATTACGTG